AAAGAAAAGAAATTTTTTACTTCATCATTCTATATTTTTCATTCTTCTCAAATAAGAATAGAAAAATTACAATCATTTCTTTTCCCTCTGATGTGCGAAAAAGGCATATTTTAATTATAATTTTAGAGATAAAAAATTTCTGTAGAAAACCATAATTCTTTACTACTTCTGAAAAAGCAAAATTCTCTACTTCCTAAAAGAAAATTCTTTCAGCAAGAACTCTGCAATATTCTGTGACAATGTTACCGCGATTCTGCCACGGGGTGCACTATTAAATCAAANAAAAAGGAATTCTGCCAAAACACAGAAAAACCAATATCATCATCATAGTTGGCCAGACAGCCCAATGTGAGACAATGCCTTCCTCTGCAGATTTCTCCATGACGACTTCCGATTTATCTTTGATCTCCAATTTTTTTCATTAATTGCGAGAAAATTACTGGATTTACTGCGAGGAATTACAGATGGGCTGACTCCACTGAGTCAGCCCATCTCAACTGCCTCCTTCCCCACTTTCCTTTTCCAGTGGGTTTAAAAAGCAGTATCTTTTTTATTGTGTTTACTTATTCGAATCATGTGGGCGATCCAATTCATTCTATTTATTTTTATGTACTTAATAATATCAGGTTGTTTATAAATTTTGTACAGTTTAAAGTTAAATCTCCTTCTCCAGTAATTGTTTTCATTTACACCACCAAGTATAACCAGCAAGATCTTTCTCTCAAATATTGCAATACAATTTTCTTCCAATTTTGTCATTGTCCAAGCTTCAGAAGCGTATGTCCAGACTAGCTGGACAAGAGTTTCAACATTTCTGAAGGAAAGAAATTTTTTACTTCATATATTTTTCATTCTTCTCAAATAAGAATAGAAAAATTACAATCATTTTTTTCCCCTCTGGTGTGCAAAAAAGGCATATTATAATTATAATTTTAGAGATAAAAAATTTCTGTAGAAAACCATAATTCTTTACTACTTCTAAAAAAGCAAAATTCTCTACTTCCTAAAAGAAAATTCTTTCAGCAAGAACTCTGCAATATTCTGTGACAATGTTACCGCGATTTTGCCACGGGGTGCACTATTAAATCAAATATGAAACATATCACATAAAAGAGTAATCATACATATCAAGTAAATCATTTTAATAAATTTGTTATCATTTTAAAAATGATAACAAACTGCCTCAGCTAGCTAACACAGAAGACTATAATTTTTGTCTAATTTTGTAACTCTGTTTAATATAATTTTATACTTGAAACAAAAGTAAACAAAAAGAAAGGACTGTCACTGTCAAAGATGTTCACGCCGTTAAAACGTGGAAAAAAAATATAAATATTTTTCTTTCATTTCAATTTTACTCATAAAAAAAAAGATTATAATGTTTACTATATCATTTCTAAGATTTGGAGGCACAAAAAAATGCCATGGCAGAGTGATTGAGAATCTGAAGCTCTAGAGATTAATCTACCAATCATCCCTCCCTAAAAGCAATGCCTCAAGTGCCAGAGTTAAGTGCAGAGACTGGTCGGATTTCTTTTCTTGACACTGCATCCTCTTAACGCTAGTTTCTGTCACATTCACTTTGGCTGTAGTTGAATGTATCTGTTGTAGTTTATTGAGATTCATTCATACACGCAAAGGTAAACATTAGTTGCAATATACAAATAGATGTTTCGGAGATTTGAAGTAGTAATTAAAGCAGTTTGGAGCAATAAACAACTCTTAATAATTCCTTGACTCTCTGTAGTCAGTTGCATGTTAAATTAGCATCTTATACATAAAATATATTACATAGTGCTTATCCAGTTGAAAATTAACAATTAGAACTTTTAGCATAGCTGCCAACACGGATAGGAAAAAATCCAGTAGATTTTACGAAATATAAATTTCATGATAATTGTTGCAAAATATATTACACATAGGGAATTTTAGGGATTTTTATAGTCGTCAAAACAGAAAAACTACAATATTTTCCAGTTATGATTTCACATTAAATAAACTTGAAATGTTATATTATGTTTATTCATAATTTTGAATAGTAATAGGCATTTAATTCCTCGAAGATAGTTAACTGAATTTTATAAATGAGGCTTGCTTCACTATGTATTAGTGATACTTATTTAAATATTCCAGCAAGCAACAATATGCACCAAAATTCTATTTCAATAGGGATCTTTAAAGGAAACTTACTAAATTTTAGAGAATTTCATAAAATGTACAAAAACCAGGAGGATTTTTATTGAACCAGTAGACCAGGAGAAAATAGCAAAATCCAGTAGAGTTGGCAGCTATATTTTAGTTACCTCAAATTAATTTATTTTCCTTGACTTTTTGAGTCACATTTTCTGTTTCAGGGTAACCCTGATACCTGAAGTTATAATTAGAAATTATAATTACATTATTGTAATGGAAATAATTTACTAACAGTCAAAATCTTTTTACTTCGCAGTAGAATAAAAAAAGTCTTGTTTTTTCATTATTCATTCACTTTTTAAAGTGTTTCTCATAGTACACATTAAACTGGATAACAACACCAAGTTTAGGACATGGACTGAAATTTCTTACAATTAACAAACACCATACATTAAATTACTTAATATATGTGATTTGTTAAGTGAATTGTATTTAATTATATTATATTACAAAGAATTAGGCTCTACTAGACTCCATCAGATAAAATATACACAAGTTACTTTAATTACAACTAATGGCAAACAAGACAAGACAGAACGGATATAACAATTCTTAATATAAGTGGGTTTTTTTTCAAACTATATTTTAAGGATCCACATTTAACAATAGTTTAGTGTGTTTAAGGAGCGATAAACATTATAAAATTGCTACTGTGACAAATTTGAGCAACTTTTAAACCAACTTTAAAATAAGCAAACATCCCATAATTTTGTAAAAATGTCCGAATTCCACTTTTTTTTTTATCTATCTTCTATTCTTTTCAATCTTTATTCCTACCACCGAGGGAGAATCACGGTGACATTGTCACAGAACGTTACTGAGGTCTTGCAGAAAGATTTTTCCTTTGTAAAATAAAAAATTTTACATTTCTTTTCTGCAGAAATTTTTCGAAAGATTATATATTTTGTTCAGAATTATATTAAAAAGATGCATTTCTTGCACATTAGAGAGGGAAAAAAAAAGGTTTGTGGTTTTTCTGTTTTAATTTGAGAATAATGAAATAAAAAAATTGATACTGATACTACTGATAGCTTTTAAAATCCAATATTTTTAATACAATATAATTTATTACAAAAATTGCATCTTGAAATGAAAACATGCATTTAGTAACCCCTTTATGAAGAGTTTGACTCGCGTTATTTCTTCGTTGATCGTGTTTTCGGTAGTTACTGCTACCTACTTTCAAGATTTTTTTAATGTGATGATGAATTACAAAATGCAAAAAAAGGAAATAATTAGTGTGTAATCTTCCTACAAAATGCAAGAATATCACTCATAATATTAGAATCAAAAATAAAAAAACATTCAATTAAAAAATTATTTTATTAATTTATTTTTTTAGAAGTTAACGCTTCTGTTACTTTAAATTAGCAACATGCACATTTGTTATTTTTAAGTATCTAACAGAAAGATGTTAGTGTTAGAGAGGTATGTCGCAGAAAGTCAGAAAAAAAATCTGCCACAGGGATCTCGTTCCTCTCACCATAAGTATCATTCAGAATGTCCAGACGGAAAATCTCACCTCCTTAACACAGGAAGCCCTTTCAGAACACACGAGACCGAGATCCTAACACATTCAAGTGCAGGTGTAATTAATATAGTATGTTTTCACTTAAAATTTAAACAAACAAAACCTCATTAGTTCTGAGTTTAATTGGATAACTTTAATACTGAATTAGATAAATAAAATAGGTAAAAACAACCTGATAAGAAAAAAAAGACATGGAGTATTTTAATGTGATGATCGTTTTACAATTAAGGCACACAAAAAATTTAAAGCCTATTCAAGTTCGTTTATAATTTTTAGATATCTCACAAAATCTAGCTTTATAGAACAGAAGAGTAACGGAACATGTAAAGCAGTTTCTGGGTGGAAGACCATACCTACAAACACTATATAAATAAAATAACGGAGGTTTTACTATTGACATTTTTTAGGCTATGAGTAAAGTGTTTTAACATATTATGCATAAAAGAAAGAGAAAGTCAAAAAGAAAAATTTAAAATTGGAAATGGTATAAGCCCTTACATTTAGCAAAAAATATGTATATATAAATCTTCATCTAAAGAAGATTTTTCAAACCATTCTTTATAATTACTTAAATTATTTTATAACCGCCGTTAAACAGACGGCCCAATTTAGGGTTTACAGTCATAGTTCGTTCACCAGGAGTTGGCACTTGGCTCCGCCCTCATCACGTGATATCCGCCGATACTATATCGCTATTTTTGGGAGAAGGATGAGAAAAATCCTGAACAAGATTAGCCTGACTGCAAGGGGAACTTAAACTATTAACACTCAACATACTGTAGTACCGGCAATAGTACTATCTGTTGAGGAATAAGAGAAGTATTTTTGTCATCAGCGGAAATTTTATTGCCAATTTTTTTTTTTTAAATTTCTTCAACAAATACGGAGAAATTTACGGAGAAATTTGAGAATATAGGGGTAAACAGGAGATACTGGTAAAATACAGGAGTCTTCGTTAAAAAACAAGAGACCTGGCAGGTATGGGTAGGGCAGCAAAAACATAGTTGTGTCCAAAACTTTGCCAACAATGGTTCAAATTAAGTGACTTAAAATTGATCTACAATTTTTGAACTTTTTAGTTTCAATTATTGTCTCAACCTTATTTTCTACTTTGCAATACAAAAACATTTCAGTTTCACCCAGTCAGATATGAATAATGTTTTTACTTTATATCTTCATTAATTACTAAAAATTAACAAGAAGAGGTTTAACCCATACGGCTTGTATAGATCCAGAGTAGGATTCCAGATACTTAGCAGCACGCTGTTCTTCTTCTTTCAGCTTTTGGTCTGCATACCTCATGTAATTCTGTACACTGTTTGATTCCAAATATTCAGGTGCTTTTTCACGATAAAACGCCTCAGTCGCATCAATGTATGCTTGTTCAAAGTTCTCTCGATAAATCTGCAGTTTATCCTCAGGATTTGAACACAAATTGACTGAAAATATAAACAATTAAAACATTTACTTCAAAGTAAACAGAAAAGGATGCACTATTCTTAATTGTCCATGAGTGACTTATCAACAATTGTTTTGAAAAATCTGCTTTTATTTATTGATTTTAAGTACAATAAAACCCTGACTATATAACTTAACCACTTCCCTTGCTTTATTTTTAAATAAAACGTTTTGAAATTTTTGTTTGTTGTAAGATATTTCACATAAGAACGCGTACCACACTTTGGGAAACACTGGTCTAGGGGATCACTCGTGATTATGTTACGGTAGTCTGAGCCAGCTTTTAATGGTCTCGTACCAGCCCTGTTATACTTTATGGAGATTTAACTAAGAATGATGACATAAAAAGTTATACACATATTATAAAATTTTTCACATAAAAGAATTTGAAGATAGCTTCATATAGATGAACCATATTAATATAAACTTAATGACATGTATAATAAAAGATATTGTGTGAGAGAATGACATTTCCCCCCTCCCTCACAATATAATCATAAGTGTTCGAACAGAAAAATGATCCTGCACTCAGAAATTTGAGATTTGCCATAACTTAGTTAGGTTATCTAGGCCAGTGTTCCCCAACCTTTCTATTACCGCGGACCTGTCACATTTAATAATTTTACCGTGGCCGGCTGGGAGGGGGTCGCTGATTGATATATATATAGATATACTATATATATTAAAATTGGTAAAACTTGACAAATGTTTTTTCCTTCAATATTATTTCCTACTTTTTTTCCCTAATAAAATTAATCTGAAATCAAAAATAGTGTTTCAGTTATTCCATATTTATACATGTTAAAATATTATTAAAAATTATAAAGAAACAAACATTATGAGCCATCGAAGATTAATTCGTTTTTAATACAAGCTTGTCCAACTTATGGCACACCTGGCAACTTTTACTTTTTCTGATTTTTTCAAAATGGTAAAGAAATGACATTTGAATTACAATGTGAGATAGAAATATTTTTTTACCGGATGTTTAACGATTCAATAACTATTACACACTTACATGTATGTGGAATTTATTTATATTAATTGTTTATATTTTTAATGTATAACAATATTTAGCATAAACAAATTAATAAATCTATAAATTAAATAAAAAAAATGCATAAATAAAGTAACCACTTTGTAAAAATAAAATTATACACAAAATCTGGAAACGTTGTCAAATATGACTTACAGTCAGCCTATAAAATTCAGAAATTTGATATCTTCTGTCTGATGTAATTAAATATTACAATTCACAGTATAATAAATGCCAAAATGTTTTATTGGTTGATCAAATACAAGTATATTGAGCTTAAAAATGGTGGGTGGACACAATGAAGTACACTGGAACAAAATGCCCTTCCAAAGCAACCTTTAAAATGTTCACTGGTTGAACAGACTTATGTTAATATCTTGCAGCTTACCATAAATAAAATTAACAATTTAAACACATAAACAATAGTTTGACAAGGCAATGAAATATATAGAATAGGATAGGAAATAGTATAGGAAATAGAGTAGGATATAGTTTATTGAATTTAGTTATAGAATAGGAAATAGTTTATTAAATTTTAAAAAAAATTACTCTTAAATAATTTTTGCATTTTAAATCATTTCAAAGTCTGTATAATTTGTTATAATTTGGTCCATAATTTACTAATGATTTGATAACTAATCCACTAATTGTAAAGGATTTTAGTACATAAAATTATACTGAATGTTACAAACATTTATTCTATAGAATAGGAAATAGTTTATTGAATTTTAAAAAAAAATACAAAAAAATTACTTTTAAATATTTTTTGCATTTTGAATCATTTTGTTCTGAATTTTGCATTTTTCAGATAATTTAAAAGATTTCTTCTTATTTCCATACAGATAACTAAGCAATTAATTTTAAAAAATTTCGCAAGGAATGATTTTGACGCAAATAGAATCAGTTAACATTATCTTGAATATGTATTTAAATTGAATAGTTGATTCATTTACCTTAAAGATTTATGCAGGGTTTCTCTAACAAACACAGGTTTTGGAAGTAAAGGGTCCATACTAATACAGTCATTCCAGTCATCCAAATTCCAACAAAACTGAAAATTATTTAAATGATAAGCAAACCAACTAGAAAATCTGAAATAGCAGAGACATTTAATTGCAATAAATATTATTTATTCATTAATTTATTATAACTAAACAAAACTGATTATATTATTTAGCTAAACAAAATCTAAATTTTCCCATTATACAACTGGATACTAAAATATGTGGGCATTCTTATCATAGCTGTTAAAAGATAAAGCTACAAGAACTGTTAATGTCGTAGACTAAGTGCTTACATTTATCTAGCTAAAAAATTAATAAACTATCATAGCCAAAATTTTAGTTTGATTAATTAAAATACACTTGAATCAAAAAATGTTGGCTAAAAATTATTCAAAAAATTCTGAACATTCTTAAAAAATAATAAACTGACCTATTTATACAATCAATGTTCATTGTATCTAATCTTTCATAAATTAATTCCACTGCTTGAGCTAGCTATGTAAAGTTAAGAAAATTTATGATTCAAAGAAGGGTTTAAAATAATAGACATATAGTACAAAATCAAAATAATATTAAGGTACACCGATATATTTAAAAAAAATCTATAATTTTTTTAGTTACAAACAAATATTAAATATTGCTTCCCTTTTATTATCTACATTATTAAAATACTGATTAGCAATAGCTATTACAAAACCAGGAACAGTTATGCTTAAAAAAAGAAAAGGGGAAAAAAACAGTAATCAGTTTCTTAAAAAAAATATAAATATTAAACTGATTAAATAAATACTTCTGATAAAAGTCATTTATTATTAAAAGCCAAAATTCAATTTCTAATTTAATGGTATTCCTACTATTATTACAGAAATTAATTTTGAATATATACAATTTGGAGTCAGACATGCGCTTTCACAAACAATTTTAATAAATTCAGAAATTAATTTAAATTAATTTGGAAAGTTAATAATTCATGCGTCAATGTTAAACACATAAAAGTGACATATAATTCCTGCAATTCATTTATGAATCACAAACCTGATATTGCTTCAAAAAATAAATCAAACGTCATCAGAAAGTAAGTCAAATATGTATTTAATTGTTGATAATACTTTTGGTTGCTTTGTATATTCTTATTAATCAGTATTTAAATTTTGGTTAATGTGAAACATAATAAACTGAATAACAGAGAGGGAAGATGCTGTGTTTTAATTATTATAGCTAATAACACTACATAATTGCATGCTTGCTAATTAAAATAAAATACTAAAAATTGAAAGAAAGCAACTTGAAAAGATACAACATGAAGAATTGTACTAGGTTGCAGTTTACATAGTTCAAGAAAAAGTGAGCCTAAGCAGACTGCAGGTAATTTGAAAATTTCCCCTAACAGAACTTGAAATTAAAACAAAGATTAAAAAAAAGGAAAAAAAATATTAATTGATTTATTATTCTCTCACTTTAAAATATTTTAGGAAGTTATATTACAAACTTAATAATTATAAATAGATATTAAATGGTTGCCTAAACTTTTAAAATGGCAATTGAAAGCATGAGAAAGCTAAAAATAGTTTTCTTGAGTTCATTTCTAAAATCATAATTTTGGGGATATTTCTAATAACAAATCAACACTTATTAAATAAATGTATACCATAATTCTACCAAAATTCTTTAGTTTAATCATATGTTACACAATTATAAAAACTCATTGCATAGAAAAACTCAAAGCTCAGCAAACTCATTATAAAAACTCAAAGCAAAGAAATGGTGTAAAATTTTAACATTATGAAAGGAAAACTCTTTATTAAAAAGCATATTTTATTAATTTAATACTAAAACATCAAAAGTTATTATTTTCATAGCGTTTAAGAACTATCAATCAAGATTTAAATTAACATAGGGAGATTAAAGGTATTTTTGCTTTAAAATAACATCAGAGAGAAATTTTGCTCTCCTTTGGTGGATATTTAAGAGAAGGAAAATATGACACATTTTAATAATGTTGAAGCAAAATCCAACGATTTATTTCTAAAAAAAGTTAAATTCAATCATTTATTTCGAAAAAAAGCAAAATTTAATTATTTATTTCTAAAAACACAGAAAATCTAGGACATTTGCTTAACCTCACACTTCTTTTAACATCTTTCCACAGCAGTGACAACTCCAATTTAAACGTTTCAAAGTTAAATTTTTTTCCCCCTTGTCACCCAACCTCAAGGTCAGTGGTCATCCTTTCGCTCAAGATCCCTCAGCTAAATAAATCTAAGGATTTTTAAATGCAAGATCTCAGAGAGGTTAACTTCCAAGCTTCTTAAAACAAAGTCCAGTAATCATAGCAATTACAGTAAGCTCCAAACTATCCAGTCTATTAAGAGGGAAATGTCGGCTGGATAAAAGAAAATCCCACTCTTAATTAACCCACTGGCAGTTCAGTAAATGGAAAAATTTCAGAGAATGTTTCTCCCCAATTCCCCTAACATGGAAAAACTGGTTTTGATTTGCAGAGAAGACTGCAGGTTGAAATGCTATTTTTTACATGCAGAACGGTTGGTGGTTTAATAATACCCATCACATATTTTAAGTTAAATTATTAGTGTAATAGTATTCAATGTTTTTTAGCTTTTTGTGAACTCGTAACAATTGCTTTTTTTTTTACAGGGTGAGGTTGTTAGGCCCACGCCTAACCCCCAACCTGGAGGACCAAGGTGTTCCTCTTTGTCTGGTGTCTCCCCATCCGGCTGTCCGACTTGGGTGACCCTACCAGGAGCCGAAGCTCCGGACCGGCATAGCTCTCGGGATCGACAACACACAAAAACCACAACACCAAGTCAACATTACTTTCCAGCAGGCCACATTATAAGAATGGAGGATGGCAAGACAACCAAAAGAGTTTTCAGTGCCAGGCCAACAGGTACAAGAAAAAGAGGACGGCCAAACATAAGATTTTTAGACCGCCTTGAAAAGAACCTGCAAGTTTTAAAGATAATAAACTGGAGAATCTTGGCTAAGGGAAGAATGTCTTGGCATAGGCTTGTTGAGAAGGCCAAGGCCCCTCATGGACTGCCGTGCCAATGAGGAGAAGAATATTCAATGTTTATGGAAAAATATCACAAATGCGAAAACTTATAACTAGGAAGAGTAAAAGTGTACGGACAACTGCTTTAGCAATCTTAAATTTTTTTCCTTCTTCGTCAACCACAATGAGTTTCACAAACAGCTAGCTCCTATATTCCACTATTTTATTCCTAGGTGAGATAGTATGGATATCAGACTGTAATGTCATAACTTATGTTACTTGTTGCCTATAAAGTTGAATATTGTTCTCCTTCCCACAAAGGGTGGATGAGAATTTTTCTCTAAAATATGCCCAGTTAGCTTCGCAGCATAAAAAAATACTTTATTTAAATTTTATTATAAACCTTTTAGGAATATTTCTACTCTAGTAAAAATAAAATAAAAGAATAAATAAAATTATTTTAAAGGGGAAAAAAATCTGAAGCAAAAAGTTATTTTTTCATCTAACAGATATTTAAAATTTATAAACCAAAGCAAATTTTTTTTAAAAAATAAAAAAATCTTTAAGCGCAGCAATATTACTTAAAAATGTTAAAACTTTATCTTACTTTCCAAATTATAAAGGAGGAAAAAGTCATCATGTATCAAGCACTCAAATATAGGCACAAATTCTCAAGACTCACAAGGCATGAATGAAAAAAACTGAAATTTTTACATTATCAAATAAATATTTCTGCAACCAGTTCTTAGGATTCTTTAACTCAAATACATCAATTAAAGCTATTGTATGAAATAACTTTACCTCAACAATGACATATTCAAGAGGAATCTTGGGTTTTCCAGGATAGCTTAAGAGAATTGCAGCACTAAAAAATAAAGAGAAGAAAAATTAAACACAATTAAAGTTTTAAATATGTTAGCACTAAAAAAATTATTAATATAGTCTATTGTAGGACTAAAAAAATTATTAATATAGTCCATTGTCCAGTGAAATATCATTCATCTATCTCTCATTTTCTGAGTCTGTCACACATTAAGGAGGAAAGTTGAAATTAGAATCATACAACATTAAAATTGCAAATAAGGTGCTGAAATTCAATCTAATGAGGGAAAAAAAGAGGACAAGTTTTTTCCTCCTTTTTTTATATTCGTGAATAGTAAGATCTGAATTAAAAAGAACCATCTATCTACCTACATATATTTATGTATATAACCAATGAACCAATATATAAATGAAGGGACATGTTCTCCTTGCTTGCTGCCCCCTTATACACATCCATTCTTGTCTTTCTAAAATGCTCTACCCTCGGTGCATGGTGTAATTCTAGGTGATAAAGAACAATTTTTTGTTTTAAAAAATTTAACTGAAAAATTGTTCCTATCAAGCATAGTGATGCTGAAAAATTAAGCATAATACTTTATAATATGCTGCATAATACTTTGCTGCATAATACTTTGCTTTAGTGATAAAACAAATTGAATGAAAGTAAGTACTTTTTCTTCCTCGCAACAGGAAATATTTTTCCAACACATTTAAAGTGTGATCTCAAATACATATTTTAAACAATTATTTTTAGCAATTATGGAAATATCTTCCAAGGAGAGGTTTATTTATAATGATTTTAAATGCAACTAAGACTGATAGGATTAAGAAGGACAAAAAAAATTTAAGCAGTCCTAAATTTAATGCATAATGCAACATGACCAAACGCTTACATTTAGAGATTTAGCTTAATTTTTGAAGAATTATGTAGTTGATATAATTATTCAAAAATATATATATATATATATACCAAGCTCAATGTAACTAAATTGCCAACTTATAATTTAAAATCATTAAAAGTAAGAGTAAGGCAGGCATAAGATTATTTAAAAAAAATGTGCTCGAAAAGCAGTAAAGGAAACCATTTTCAGAACAGAAAAGTTATTTATCAGGTGACTTCAAAATGGCAAAAATCCTCTAAACCAAAAGACTGAGGAATTCTGTGAAACTTTCGTCGAATTTTAAGTTTTTGATCAGTGAAAGTCGGAGAGCCAATCGTACTGAGAAAGGAGGAATTCTGCGATATTCCCGGAAAAATTACATGCCCTGCTCCTAATTTTAAGACCCTTAAAAATAATACCAAAAAGCTGGAATTCCGGGATACCCCCGGAATACAATCACCCCTTTTATACACACTAAATTACGAAATAAAAAGATTTTGGGTCTTTATTTTTCAAAATAAAGGTAAGTAGTTTAAAAGCATGCTTAAGGACCTTGTAGAACACTAGTTTCTTTTTTGTTTTTTTTTGCCCTGGAAACAAAGTCAGAAATTAAGCTTTTTTAATGCTGCATAATACTTTAGTGGTAAAACAAATTGAATGAAAGTAAGTACTTTTTCTTCCTCGCAACAGGAAATATTTTTCCAACAAATTTAAAGTGTGATCTCATATACATATTTTAAACAATTATTTTTAGCAATTATGGAAATATCTTCCAAGGAGAGGTTTATTTAGAATGATTTTAAATGCAACTAAGATTGATAGGAGTAAGAAGGACCAAAAAAATTTAAGCAGTCCTAAATTTAATGCATAATGCAACTTGATCAAACGCTTACATTTAGAGATTTAGCTTAATTTTTGAAGAATTATGTAGTTTGGTTTTCGAGAAGTATTCTTAATTGTTCCTTAATATCGACAAAAATATCTTTCTCTTTAGCAGTCACAGCTCCAAAGCCATCTGGCCTTAGGTAGAAAATAACTTTTACTTATTAAGAATATTATTTTTGTAAAGCATATGTAATATAATAATAAAATTAGTATGCTAAATCATTTATAATATACATATACTTGTTCTTAGCATTGATACAATCTTTATAATAAGCTATGAAGTTTATTTAAAAAATGGTTTTAACTTGCTTCTTACATTTCAATTAAAAATAAATTTAAAAAAATATTGTTTCTTATAAATTTTTATCAAGCATCATTCATATAAAGTAAATGATATATAAAAAAAATCAGATAATTAGAAATTATTAAAACAAGAACACAGTTTGAATAAAAAAAAAGATTTATATCATTTTTAATATGTAATTTATGCATTTATGTCACACTGCTTCATACAATTTAAGCTTTTAAAATAATTTAGGCATGTTTTGACATTAGACACTGAACAGACCATTCAAATGTAATGCATAAGTAGAAAAATTAACTTTTATAATAAAGAATGTTCTTTATTTTTATATTAAATATTGCATGAATAAGCAAATTTTAAATTAAATTGAAAATTATACTAGTATGAATGTAAATTATTTATCTTTCTTGAGATGATTTTCTATTTTTACCACCTATTTCTAAATCTGTTCTCAATATTTAATAAATAAGGACTATAAAACTTAGTTGCAAAAAGAAGTTTAATTAGTTGACCCACTTTTCAAAGAAACTAAGTTAAACTTTTTGTAAAAAATTTGCCTAGCTGTAAGTTACACCGCAATTGTTTTCTACACTACTACTAATTTATACAACTAAAACATTCTATTTTACAAAAATCTCAGTAACTTTAAAAGCCATAATTTCTGGGAAAAAAATATGAAAGTTGTGGATATTTCAGTTCATAATTTGTTTTTAGCTAAATATAATCCATGAAATAACTTTAATTAGCTTTAGGATAATTTTGCATTTGAGAAAAAAAATGACATCAGATTAAATTATTATTCAATTTTATTATTAAAAAAAAGTTATTACAAAAAGTGGTTAAAAAAAATAACATAGCAGTATATTCAACAACTTATTATATGCTACAATTTTAATAAACCAATATAATGTCTACATTTTTTAAATACTCTAAACAGATCCATGCTTTAATATCAAACAAATATAATATTATTTAAGTTAATTTTATTATGTAAAAATTATCATAATATTAAGAAAATAAAAAATCATTTCTAATAAATGTAAGCATTAACTATACAAGAAAACTTTTTCCAGCTGCAACTTTTAACAGTAATACTCTAAGAAATTTAAATTATGCATAATTGAGATTAACAATGAATGATCAACAGTGATACAACAGTGCACCCTATCAGGTATTAGCTACTGATAAATATATTATTACAGCAATAACATTAATCACAAAACAATAGTTCTAAGTCATACATANCACTAATATGAATGTAAATTATTTATCTTTCTTGAGATGATTTTCTATTTTTACCACCTATTTCTAAATCATTTTTCAATATTTAATAGATAAGCACAATAAAACTTAGTAGCAAAAAAGAAGTTTAATTAGTTGAACCACTTTTCAAAGGAACTTAGTTAAACTTATTACAAAAAATTCGCCTTACTGTAAGTTACAACGCAATTGTTTTCTACCACAAGCTTATAACTTATTTTTCAAAACATTTTATTTTACAAAAATCTCAGTAACTTTAAAAGCTGTAATCCTTGAAAAGATTAATATGAAAGTTTCAGATATTTAGTTCATTATTTGTTTTTAGCTAAATATAATCCCTGAAATAACTTTATTTAGCTTCAAATTAATTTTGTATTTGAGGAAAAAAAATTCACTTTAGACCTTATAACATTTAATTTATTTATTATAGAATTTTTTAAAAAAACGTTATTACAAAAGTGGTGAAAAAAAACATAGTAGGCTCTTCAACAACTTATTATATGTTACTATTCTAATAATATTTACATTAATAATAACATTTTGTCCACATTTTTTAAATACTCTAAGCAGATCCATGCTTTAATATCAAACAAATATAATTTCATTTAAGTTAATTTCATTATGTACAATTATCATAAGATTAAGAAAATAAATAATCATTTCTAATAAATGTGAGCATTAACTTTACAAGAAAACTTTTTCCAGCTGTAACTTGTAACATTAATACTTTAAGAAATTTAAATTGTGCATACTTAAGATTAACAATAAATGATCAATTATGATACAACAGTGCACCATATCAGGTATTAGCTACTCATAAATATATTTTTACAACAATAACATTAATCACAAAACAATAGTTCTAAGTCTTACATAACAATAATATGAAAGAAACCTTAAAGGAAAATTTTGAATAATATTAAATATTTCAGTAAATCCAGTAACTTTCCAGTTATGTTTCAGTGCTTGGCAATCTAGACTTACATTGCAAACAAGTGGAAAGCAAAAAGAAATTAAGAATACAGAGCAAAAATGTTTTTCTTTTCTATAGTCTTTTTTGAATCTATTCTAGAAACATGTGACCACTAACTTACATAGCTGCCAACACGGATAAGAAAAAAAAACCAGTATATTTTAAGAGATATAAATTTCTCGATAATTGTTGCATTATGTATGTACTAAATATTTTACACATAGGGAATTTTAGGGATTCTTATAGTCATCAAAATAGAAAGACTGCAATATTTTCTAGTTATGTTTGACATTAAACATACTTGAAATGTTATAGTTAAAAGATTTTTTAAACAAATTTAAAAAGAGAGTTCTGAATAAAAATTAACTGAACATTTCTGAATAGAGCAAAAACAATTTTGAGCTATTTTTTACAAATGAGGTTTACATCATTATGTATCATTAATATGTTGGGTCTTTGTGCCAATTAAATTAAATGAACGCCAAGTACGATACTACAATTAATTTTATCAAAAAAATAACATATTTTATTTCTTAAACATTTTAGAACACAACAACATTTTTTTATATATCTAACTCCGTTGCCAAAACGAATTCAAAACTAAAACTTATACTTTTTTAAAACACGTTCAAATAAATTATTTAAATTTTACGTCTCTACATATACTCCCCTACCAGTAAAGAATGTTACGTTACTAGTAGGAGAAATACATAGTAAAATTCAGGTTTTGAATCTTATTGGAGTCTTTATTATTCGACCAGTCCGAGATTGTTTAATCGCTGATTTCAGCTCAGGCTGGAACAGAATCTTTACTGGCAG